GCCTCGAAGCTTACGCCTCGTCTCATAAAGAAAAACCACCTCAGTACTTAGTTTCGCCTTTTTAAACACAGACTGTGTTTTAAAGTCAACTTTTGGGTGATTCCTGTCATTAGCTATCATATAGGTAGACAAACTAAATTGAAACCAGAGAGATCCTAAATAGAAATGCACTATAAATCGAGTGTACTACTACCTGTGATGCTCGGGCTCTTGTTTTTGATCAGCATACCGGTGTCGACACGACATGAGTACGGGTATGAAATATAGGGGCATTTTTAACCGGACACGGCAACGTGGGAAGGCTGATTGCAGCGGCGCCACCACGGAGAATGTAACAGAAACTTACTGGACGCGACGATAGTGTGGTTATGTCTGAAAGGTGGAGTGCAGCTGGTTTATTTGGTGGGTTTGTCGTCGTTGGGGATAGGGAGGATATGATGATGGAGATTCTTCCCTTTGAGGCTGATGGTGGCGATGTGGCAAGGTAGAGGTGGTCGGCGAGAGGATGTGGCAGGGTAAGCGTCAAGTTGGTGGTTTGGGGTTTGTGGTTAGAAATTAGAATTATTATTTAACCTTTTATATGTGAATTTCTAGGGCGAAAGAAATGAAATTTGAAAGACGTGCTCGCGTACCCGTGTCCAAAATTTAAACTATTTTTAGTCATATTCCCGTAACCTACATTTTATTATAGAAAATGAAAGTTCAACACTTAGATACATACCCATACCTATACCCAACTCCGAGCAATCATAGACTACTGCTGTTTCATGTAACAGCTGCCAGTTTTTCCTTAAGTACTTGAAGTGTTCTGCTTTCAGGTGCACTTCGTTCTACATGTTCATTAGGAGCCGAAAAGCTTAGCTTATGCTTTGTGTGGCCTTTGTTAAGTCTTACTGAGGGCAGCTGAGTTACTCTTGCCCTTTTGTGCTATTTTACAAGCCTCATCCTTTTGGACTAGTTACATTCATTGCCCAAATCACTTACCAACCTCTGCTTCATCAATTTATTATTTTCTACTTTCTTGAACAATTTTATGTTTCTAGTTGCAAATCAGACTTCTAAATTTGTAGAAATGTTATATTATGTATTTTTTCAGATGATTTCATAATGTATTATGAGAATAATTTTTTTTATTATTGCTTTGAATTAGTATTGGTTTATGTGATGCCTCGCCTCGTGGACACACAATTCCTTGATAACAGATTTAGGACTTTTCAGCACTGATATATGCTCGTTTATAGATTATTTTTTGTTAATAACCACTTCTAAGACCAATTTAAGGACTTTTTGTTTTTATTAAGTTGAAATAGACATTTTATCATCTGGGTAACACGAATTGTTTTGGAAGCTTCTTGTACAACATGTTGTCTTGCTCTTTGGTGATGCCTGGAGAGTCGAATCATGTTCTATATTAAAGATCTGCTGATGCTTTTATAATTGGAAACCAAAATCGAAGGGACCCCTATTTCCGTCTTGCAGCTAGCTTGAGTCGCAGATTAAATATCCCTTTGGATACATTGATAAAATATTATTTGTTTTCTGCTATAGGCAACACTGGTTCATATCAAGATTGGATGGAGCCTCAGTTACAGCTGGTGGTTTTACTCCAAGAAATAGCAATATTCTCATAATCTCCACTTCTTCAAATCATGTTTATGCATTTGATGTGGAGGCCAAACAGTTGGGGGAGTGGTCCATGCAGCACACATTTTCTCTGCCTCGAAGATATCAAGAATTTCCTGGAGAAGTTATTGGTCTTTCGTTCCCACCATCATCTAGTTCATCATCCGTTATTGTCTACAGTCCTAGGTAATTTTCTTTTCCATGAGTGAATGTCCCCTATGCTCTCTTCTTACCCTATATTCTTGTGGAGATATGCTATGAGTACAGGAAAATTCACCTGAAGACAGCTGTCTTCCTGTGATTGGCAGCTGCCAAAAGCTGTCTTCCTGTGATTGGAGCCAATCACAGGAAGACAGGTCTTCCTGTGCATTTTCCTGTTAAATTTCCCTGTACCTGCAGACTTTTTGATTCTTGTGCTATGGTGAGGTGTAGGCTTTTCTTTTGACTCGTCCATGGATTTGAATAAATAATCAGAAGTTATTTGTACTAATTACAAAATAGGGTCGTCTATTTATCATGGAAGTTAGTCTTGAGTTAAAATCGTTAGTCTATTTATGTCTTTTTTTTCTTCTCATGAAGTAATTAAAATTCCATCATCATGAGTACTGTAAATAAATATTTCAAAAGATTTCTATTCAAGAATTATTGATTTTAGGGTATGGGACAAAGTTGATTGATGAGAATCATAGATTAGTTTTATGCTTTAAGCTGAAAGTAAATAAATCCATCCCGATTGGTGGTTTTTCTTCTCTTTTGCGGCTCTTTTATTCCCAATTTTGACCATATTGAAAATTTGGACTACCATTTCCCAAGTATTAGTACATTTAAACAAATGTAATCTATCATGAAGATAACGTTTATGAAAAGTTGACGACTTATGAAGCTTATGTTCCAGGGCAATGTGTTTGATTGACTTTGGAATGCCAGTTGATAGGGAGGACGATAATGAATTGGCAAATGGTGAGGACTTGGCATTGAGAATGTTGCAGAGCAACGGAAAACTGAAGCGTAAATTGAAAGATCATGAATTAGAAACTAGACAAAGCGGTAGAAAGAACTTTGAATTCTGTGCTTTCAGAGATCCTGTTTTATTTGTCGAACATCTTTCTAGAAATTCTCTCTTGGTCATAGACAAACCATGGATGCAAGTAGTTAAGAGTTTGGATACCCCACCTGTTCACAGACATATTTTTGGGACATAAATGCTCTTATTTCGATTCCTTTTACTCCAGTCTTCCTTCTCGTCACTTTTGGTTTTGTGGGGGTGGGGGCGGCGGCATTGTTAGGTTGGTCTGGAGCATGTTGTGCAATGTAATCCTTGATATTTCTTTTAACATGTCAAGTTAATTATTATTTTATTATATTTTTAAAATTATAAGGACTTCTCCATGTTTCAATCTGCACATTTTTATCGAATTGAACTTATTTGACATCTGCATTTTTAGGGAACAATAATTCTGAGAACTTTTGTTATTTCATGGCTTGTTGCTTGTGTACCTTCCAGTTGTTAAGTACTTTTTCTTTATTGTCCTGTCGTCTGCTCTTAGTTTTTTACTTTTTCACTCAACAGCTCCAATTTATCTTTGTAACTGATGTATGTAAATAACGTTTTTTCAAAGTTACATGTCTTATAGAGATTTAACATAACAAATTTTCACCCGTTAGTTGGATGAATGATACATATCTAGGTCTCCACGTGATGAAAAATGTTAGTGGACATTGAAAT